GGACAAGTTGGGACTGGGGCCTCTAAACAGAAGCATTGCTGAGTTAACTTCCTAGAAAGTAGTGGAACGCTTTATTCCTGTCTCCGGCATACTTCTGAGGCACCTCCTTACCTGACCTTGTTTTAGACACTCAGCCAAAAAGCTGTCATTTAAGCAGCCTCAGACAACTCCTCGGTTTGGCCTGCCCATAACGTGAAATCAGTAGTAAACACGGGAGTGGTCAGCGGACAGAGCCTCAGCTCAAAAAGCTGACAAACCGAAGGTGACCTGGGTAAACTCTTCCAAAGGGCAAGATACAAGACGACTGTTGGTGGGCCTGCAGGGGAGTGGTACACGTTGCATCAGAGAAATATAACAGTATTAAATCCTGGACTTTTTGTTTGTATTTTTCCTTAAGGGCATGCATTTCACAGATCCAGAAACTTCTCACTGAAAATCTCAAAAACAAGGCCATGCAAGGTGGGGAGGCAGGTGAGTTCTTGCCACCAGTGTGTGAAATGAGAATACTGTTGCCCCCTGGGGGCTTCTGGGCTCTGTGGAAGAAAGAGCAGGCCCCTGGTCTGTAAGGTAACTCACGTCCACTGTACAGTGTCTAACATAACAGGTGCCCTGTAAATACTGGCCAAATGCAGGACTGAAAGCAAGCTTGGTGAACACACTTGACAGTGCTAATGGCCATGACCGATAGACAATGTGCTGAGGCAGATAAACAACATTAGGGTGGGGTTAGATGGACCGTCATGCACAGGGCAGCAGCTCCTCATCCACAGGCTCTAACCAGTTGTAACTTGGACGCCCACATCTGCCCTTGGCCAGAAAGCAGGATGAGGAACCAAAACTGGTCCATCCAACAAGGGAAGGGTTCATTGTCCCTCATGAGGATGCTGGGCAAGTGAGTTCCTTGAAGAAACGTTTCTTGGGTAAAGGCCACCCCACAGAGCCAGTCTCCTTTCCAGGGGAGGCTAACAGACTGCTCTCATCTGTCAACTCTGATTGGCCAGGTGGCCCTGAGAAGTATTCTGAGGCCATCTCCTGGCTTGCAAGAAAGAATGCTGGGCTTGATTAGTGATGTCTGCTCCCCGTCAGCTAGCTTCAAAGCAGAAATGGATGCCTAGTGACGGGCCATGCTTTATCCGTGATTCTGCTCCTGACCGTAATCCCCCTAATGGGGATTCTTTCTAACTCATCATAACCAGACCACCTGAGGAGACCCCAGGCAATTCCAGATTTGAAATGCAAACCCAGGTTCCAATCCCCAGCACCAAACAATATCATGTCAAGTCAAGGAGACTCAGTGACTCGATGTGACAGAGGAGAACTGCCCCACAGGGTTTCCTAGGCTGTAATCCTTACAGAAGCAGATCACCAGGTGTTTTCTCCCTCAGAGCTGCTGGTGGGTTCAAATCCTCAACCTTTTGGTTAGCAGCTGAGCCACCAGGACTCCTGACAATATCACTGAGATGGTGAATAACAGTAATGATAACAGGAAGAGGGAACAGTTGCTCAAGGTCCCACAGGCCAATAAGGGCAAAGCTGAGGAGTAAGTAGATGGAGCAAGTGGCCCCTAAGGTCCTTTCTGGCACTGGTTTCAGTTTTGGGGGATGTCCAGGTGCCCTGGCCCTTTCCCTAGCTCTATACTAACACAGGAGTGGAGCCGTGCACAGCCCTCTCGGGCCTGGCCAGGCCTGGTGTCTTGGATCCCCCATCTGCCCTCCTATCAGAGTCTCTTCCTTTTAGAATCAACTGTGCCCCTCACAGGCGAGACTCCCACTCATAAAGGCCTTTATGATTTGCAAAGAGCCTTTTTCACATGGTCTCTCTGATGATCCCATTTCCTCAGGGAAAGCAAGGCTGTCAAAAACCCTGCTCCCTGTATCCAAGAACATACATAAGGTTGGCAGACAATGGTCCTGTAAGTTTATGTGAATGATCAGAATCCCCAGGTGTATAGTAGAGCTGACAAGAGGCAAGGTTGTGGTCACTGCTTGGTCACAGCCAGCTACCCAGAGGGACAGAGTAGTTGAACCTGCAGACTTGGGACCATAGTCGCAGGGGACATCAAGCTCAATTGGCATAACATACTATACAAAACATTGTTCCACCCCCTACTTTGGCGAGTAGCAACTGGGATCTTAAAAGCTAGCAAGCTGCCATCTAGATGCAACGATGGGTCTCTCCTCGTCCAGAGCAAAGAAGAATGGAGAAAAACAAAATTCATTGAAACAATTAGTCCTAGTGACTAGTACACCATCTGATCTGCAGCCTATATGACTATGAGACCAGAAGAACTAGGTGGTGCCCAGCTACCACTGTCATCCACTGTCATCTATGTAGGAGATCCTTGATAGAGAGGGAGAACAATGTAGAACAAAACTCAAAATCATTTGGTGGAATAAAAAAAAGGGGTGGGGACCAGGTTTGCTGGTCCAATAGAGCCTGGTGGAGCCACTGAGACTATGGGCTCTAGCTGCCCTTCAGGTCTGAAATTGAACCCACACCTGTGGTTTCCAGCCAAACAAAAGACAGGCATATGAGTTGAACATTTACCTGAGGTAGATACACTCCTTGGAGAGAACAATCATGGGAGAAAGAAGGGCTGCTTATGCACAGGGAGACAGCTCAGGGGGCAGGAGTCCATGGAGGGATGGACACAGGTAAGAGGTAACTACGGGGAGGAAGTGGGAGGGGAGCTGTTGCATTGTGGTAAACTGTGGTCAATGTCATGAGACAAAGTATATGTGAACTGCTGTATGGAAAGTGAATTTGCTCTGTAAATCTTCACTCAAATCACAATTAAAACATCCTGCTCCCTCGTGATGGGTGCCCTGCCTTTCACTATACTGCACTTTGCTAATACCTTTTGGATGGGTGATACTTAGGTACTAACAGCCCATCAAAGAGTAGGCTAGTGGCACAGTGGTTAAAGTATATGGGTGCTAACCAAAAGGTCAGTGGTTCAAACCCACCAGCTATGCCACTGGTGAAAGATGTGGCAGCTGCTTCCGGAAAGATTTACAGTGTTTGGAAACCCTGTGGGGCAGTTCTACTATGTCCTACACAGTCCCTATGAGTTGGAATCGACTCAGTGGTGGAGGGAGGATGATTTTGCTCTATAGGGAACATTTGGCAATATCTAAAGACATTTTTGGTTGTCACACTAGGTGTAGGGTGCAACTGTTTCCTAGTGGATCGAGGCCAGGGATGCTCTAAGCATTCTACAATGCACAGGACAGCCCTTACCACAAAGAATTATCTGACCTTCAATACCATTAACAACCTGCAATATATAGATGACACAACCTTGCTTGCTGAAGACAAAGAAGATCTGAAGAAGTCTATTGATGAAGAGCAAGGACTGTAGCCTTGTATGGATTACATCTCAACATAAAGAAAAAAAAAAAAAAAAATCCTCACAACTGGACCAATAAGCAGCATCATAATAAATGGAGAAAAGATTGACATTATCAAGGATTTCATTTTACTTAGATCCATAACCGATGTCCATGGAAGCAGCCGTTAAGAAATCAAATGATGTATTGCATTGGGCGAATCTCCTGTAAAAGACCTCTTTAAGGTGTTAAAGAGCAAGGATGTCACTTTGAGGACTAAGGTGTGCCTGCTCCAAGCCCTGGTATTTTCAATAGCCTCATCTGCATGTGAGTGCTGGACAATGAATAAGGAAGACCAAGGAAGAACTGATGCCTTTGAATTACAGTGTTGGTGAAGAATATCGACTACACCATGGACTTCCAGAAGAATGTAGTTCTTGGATGAAGTACAGCCAGAACGCTCTTGAGGAGTGAGGATGATGAGACTTCATCTCACGTACTTTGGACACGTTCTCAGGAGGGACCAGTCCCTGGAGAAGGACATCACGCTTGGTAGGGCAGCGGGCCAGCAAACAAGAGGAAGACCTTCAGTGAGATGGATTGACACAGTGGCTGCAACAATGGGCTCAAACTTAGCAGTGATTGTGAGGCTGGCACCAGACTGGGCTTGTTTCCTTCTGTTGTACCTGGGCTCACTGTGAATCAGAACCGACTTGACAGCACCTAACAACAACAACAAAGGTCAACAGCGCTGACGCTGAGAATCCCCGTAAGAGGGAGAGGCAAGCTGAGCCCCAGCCCCACCCCAGAGGGCCCCAGCCAGTGTCCCTGCTTGCTCCAAGAAGCCTTTTTTAACTCCCCCAAATGGAGGGAGCTTGTGTGCCTCTGAACCCCTCACCTGTTAGTAGAGCGCTGTCTTGGAAGATTGCCACTTTCTGTCACCTTGTAAGACTCTTTGCCTAATCCCTGTAGAAAGCAGTAAGCTCCTTTGGGGCCAGCTACTGTGCTACTCATTGTTTTGTTCCTGAAAAGGCCTCGCAAAGCCTCTTGCCCAGTGCGTCTGCTTCACAGCTGTGATGGAGGAGGACGTGGAGAAATGAATTCACCGCTGGGTAGGGATGTTACTGCATTGTTTGCTCAGCGGTATTTTCTCTCCTCAGATGTGATCCTCGAGTGCCTCGGCTTCAAGTGGGAACTCCATCAGCCCCAGCTTTTTCAGTCTGGGACACTAACCAAGCTGTACCTGAGGGCCCTATCGAGGGGCACCATGGACCCCCTGACGGAACTGGAGAAACTTCTGAAAGGTATCTTCTTACCAGTACCCAGCCTGGAGCCCCAAATGCTCTTTAGTTTGAGAAGCCACCCTCCCCTTGCACTAGATACTAGGTTATGTTTTGAGGCCAAGGTCACTTATGCTGTTAAGAGCAAGTTTCTGTGGCCACACTCCGTGGAGTTTAGCTGTATGGCCCCAGCAGCGGCCTTAAGCTGTTTGCTCAGCTGTAAAATGCAGATCACAGTTCTTATCAAGTCGCTCTGAAGATCAGAGGAGTGTGTATGAAATTCTAGGCCAATGCCTGGCACACAGCAAGCACTTAGTGAGTGGCGACTGTTATTCTCATAATAACCCAAGTCTTGTGCAGCCAGAGACTTAACCTGCTTATATGGAGAACCTCTGCCTACTTCTTTGCTAAGGGGAACTGGATCATACTGTCTTCTAAGGGCTTTCTGGAAGGTCTGACAGCTGTGGCTTGTGTGTGGTCCCAGCTAGGCTGGTTAGGAGTTTTCACGTGTGTGTGTGTGTGTGTGTGTGTGTGTATCTTACTGTCTTTTCTTTAAATCAACCTCATTCCAAAGAGTGTTTAGGTACTTCTTTCTTTTTCTCATGTTCCAACCCTAATACCCCAGCCTCCCCTTACCTGTCCTGTAAGTCCTCTCCAACTCGTTGCCACCTTCCTTGGACAACAAGTTGGCATGGTAGAGGCCAACTTGCAGGCAGATGCCATGAAAAAGTCAGGGCTCTCAGAGCCAGCCAGATGTGAATGGAATGGGGTTGCATTTTCAGGAGGTCTGCCAGAGCAGACCGTGACAAGTGTGGAGAGAGCCCTGCAGCCCCCCTGGGGAATAAGCAGGCAGAGGCAGGTACTGAGGGTTCAGTGAGCAGGTGAGTAGTGGGGAGGATGGAGGCCATGAGGATCTTGGGGCCAACGGAGGGTCTTGGACTTGCGTGCTGACACTGTGGGGCACCCCTGAAACATGCCAGCATTGCATGCTGTAACTTACATTTTAGAATAACGCCGAGTAGACAGGGGAGGGCAGCCAAGAGTCAGCCCCCTCCACTCCCACCTGGAAGTCCTCAGTGACAGCGGTCCTCAGTTCAGAGATCTGCAGGGCTGAGTTTCTAGAGCCCCTGAGAAGAAGCCTCTGTCCCACACTCACCCTTCAATAGGTGTTCACTGTTTGCTGTGCTCCTTGTGCCAGACCGTGGTAGTTTACGTTTGTGTGTCAACTTGGCTGGGCCTAGTTGAGTGGCTGGGCAGCTGGATGTAGTATTCCCCGTGATGAGACTGGTTATCAGCTCCACAGTGAAATCTATTGTGAGCAGCTCAGTAGCTGTCTTAAGGATGTGGTCTGCTTCCAGTAGATAAGGAGAAGCTTTAGGAATGGTCTGTAGCTTTTGGCACACTTGAATCCTGCATGTACTAAGTCGTTTCCCAGCAGCCTGCCATGTTGTCTTTGGACTCTTAACGGGCTTGAAGCAATGGCCTACCGTGTGGTTTGGTAATATTGAGGCTGTGTCATTTTACTTGTCAACTTTGTGTTTGTCAGCCTCAGCATCCAGCAGCTGCCTGAGGGAAGAGACATCTCGGGCTCCAGTGGGCCAGGAGCACAAGGCAGAACTGAAGGCCAAGGTCAAGGGGCTTTCACCCAGCCCCTAGAGCCTGGCACTTTGAACTTGGACTTTTAGCCTCCAAAACTGTAAGAGAATAAACTCCTGTTCATTAAAGCTATCCCATTTGTGGTATAAACTCTGCCAGAGCAGCACGAGAGGTAACCAAAACACAGACCTGAGTTAGGAGCTAGTGAGGGGTGCAGGAATGGATGAGGCCCTCTTGTGGCCCTTGAATTGCTCACAGCCTGTTAAAGAAAAGAGAACTATTAATAAGTGTTTAATGTGCAGCGTGGATGTCAATGTCTTGGTTTTGACAGTGTACAACAGTTATGGAGTCCATTGTCATTGAGGGAGTCAGAAGAAGGGTACACAGGGACTCTGTGAACTATTTTTGCAACTTTCTGTGAGTCTCAAACTATTTCAGAATAAATAATTACTTCTTTTCAACCACAAAATTGAAATAAATTATAACAAATAAATATTTTAAAAACATATCCACTAAAACAAGAGCAAAAATATATATAGTGTGATGTCAAGATTGAGGTACAAAGGGTGGTGGGTGCTTCACACTGCATTTTGCAGAACTCAGTGTGGCTGCCACATCATTATCCAATCCCCTTCACTAGTTCGGTCACCTGGGAAGAGCAAAGAAACATCGCGCATAAAGAAGATGACCATTGCTTTGAAGATCAACGACCCACTGGTGACCAAAGTTGGTAATGTACACTTGTCTTCTTATTTTGGGAATGCCGTTGATCAAGCAGTCCTTGCTGAAAACAAACCAAAAACCACAGCAAGCAGGCGGCACACCGTGCTCACTGCTTCCTTCTTAAAAATACTTGGCAAGAACAAAGAAAGAAGGGGAAAGAAAGTTGGGACAACTTGGGAAAAATGAAAGGCAGATGCTACGACAGAGGGTGCTTCTCTTTGGGAAGGAGGCATGATGTGTGCAGAGAGAAGGGAATGGCAGGCTTCTCAAGACAGACCCACCAAAAGCGTTGGGCCCTTCCCCTGCCCATTGGCTGGCTTCTGGCAGCAGGGGCCTCCCCCAGGGTAGGTCCCTGGGCTCACTCTCCCCACCCCTTCCCGGCCACCCAGAAACAGACTTCTGTGTTAGTGTGCGCTGTGTCACGTGGGTCACGGGCTCCGAAACTGGTAGGTCAGGAAGCAGTACAGGTAAGCACGGGGTAAACCGGTTGTCCTCAGGGCACATGCTAGCCACACTCCAGCACTATTTGGAAGCACTACTTGGAAGGAGCCAAGTCCATCCTGGTCCTTCACCAATGACAATTTAGTTCCTGGACTATCAGATTATCCGAGCTCTTTCTAGGGGTCCTTCACCTGTCTGAAGTCTGCAGACTCTGAGGGAAATGGGCTATCAGCTATGTGCCATTTCCAAAGAAAAAAGGCCCCCCTGCATATAACATGTCGCAACTGTTTAGGGCAGGGAGTCATATCCCTCCACAGGCGGTGGGTGCCAGGTTAGGAAAATGCCAGTTGCCATGGGTCTACCTCCCACTCATGGGACCTCTGGCATGAAAGCAGCCCTGGGCTCCGGAGGGTTTTCAATGGTGGGTATTTGGGAAGTAGACCACCAGGCTTTCTTCCAAGATGCCTTTGGGTGGACTTGACTCTCCAACCTTTCAGTTAGCAGCCAACCGCTTATCAACCATTTACACCACCCAAAACCAAACCTGCTGCCACTGAGTCGATTCCAACTCATAGCAACCCCCATTGGGTTTCCAAGGCTGGAAATCTTCATGGAAGCAGATTGTCTCATCTTCTTTCTGTGGAGCAGCTGCTGGGTTTGAACTCCCCACCTTCTGGTTAGCAACCAAACACCTTATCCACCACACCACCAGGACTCCTTTCAAGTTAGAAATGAACCCCTGAAACAGTCTCACCCGAGGTGAACCCAAGGGTACCTGCGAGCGTCCTTTCTGCCAGAGCCGAGTTTTCTTTAGCGTCATCCTCGCCTCCTGTCGTCAGGTTCCAAGCAGGGTCTGTAGGCAGGTCACCGGGTCCATTTTGTGCAAGCGCATCTCTGTCTGGCAGGCTTCCGTGCGCTCTAGGTGGCCAGCAGGGGGCGCCTGTGAGAGAGGTGCGCGGGCAGTTTCCAAGGACGAGGGGAGGCGGCGCTGCTTCCTTGGTGCAGAGGTGCCCCCTGACGGTCTTCTCTGACCCTGCGTCCTCTCCAGCTTTTGCCACCGCCCTGAAGAACCTCTACATGAGTGAGGTGGAGCTGGACATGGACGACTTGGTGGGGGTGCTGGCTTCCGCGCGCATTCTCCAGTTCACCGCCCTGTTTCAAAGGTAGGGAATGCGCTGGGTGCTGGGTGGTCAGGGCCAATCCTAGACTGTCCCTCTTCTGGGCTGGGCCCCCTGGGTTTTTTTTGCCCTGAGCAGGGCTTTGAGCCTGGAAAGGAACAAAGGCAGCGATTCACATTAGCGTGTTACGAGCTCTTAAGGGCCTCTCCCAAGCAGCAGGTTCTTCAACCAAATGATTTTTGATTCGTGACAAGAAATGCAATGGCGGCATTTCTACTCCTGGGAGGGACTATGCAAGAGTGCAGAGCGATTTCCTGGTAGCACTCAAGCCTGGCTTGCTTATCAATTTTCCCTATTTCCGGTTTTGGCTAAAAACCCTCCCTCCTCCGTTTAGTGCGCGTGCGCAGCGACTAGCCCTGTGAAGACTCCCTCACCACCACCCAGCTCTTGTCCTCGGTGCCAGCAGTCATGCGTCTGGCTGGCTCCACTAAAACCTTGCCTTTTCTTTTAAGTAATATTTTTGCTTTTTCAAAGTTGCACATAGTTAGTGTTGATCACGTGGGAGAGAGAGAAAACACGAAGAAAAAAGCCAGCTGGCCCATCCGTAGGCGAATGCCCGAACGTCAAGTGTGCACGCAGATACAGTGGAACGTTCGTCAGCAGTAAAGAGATGACGTTCGAAAACACAATGGGCCTTGGGCGACCCTTGAAAACATGGTGCTGAGTGCAGTAAGCCAGCCACTAGAGGACAGCTGTTGTGGGACCTGCTTATAGGACATGTCTGGAGTAGGGAAATGCTTACAGACGGTTGCTCGGTGTGGAGGGCAGGTGCAGGGGCTGTCCTGGAGACCATGCAGGTTGAACCCACTTTTCCCTGCAGGTGCTTTGAGCTGGTGCCTCCCTCCCACCCGGGGGCGCTGAGCTGCCTGGGCCAGGCCCTCCTGGAAAATCTCTCAGCCTTGTCAGGGACTCAGGCGCCCTGCGGCTGATGGGTGTGCGAGCTCAGAGGCAGGGGCCTGCTTTTTCTGGACGTGTCTGCAGAGGGCACGCGAGGAGGACCCCATGGTCCCGAATAGGTGCTCTGGGCAGCGGGGACCACGTGCAGGGCCAGAGAGGCCAGAGAGGCTCAGCAGGGCGTGGTGAGGGGAGAAGAGCCAAGTGGTCAGTAAGGCGAGGCTGGAACCAGCCAAGGAGTCTGAGTGGACCCTGGAGGTTACGGGGTTTCCTGAGCTCCCCACCCTTCCATTCCGTGTTCCCACGTGCAGCTCGCCACAGCCTGTGACTTAGAGTACTTTCTGAATCACAGCTTCATCCTCAGAGCGTTTCCTGAGCAGCTGCTTCCTGGGCTGTCCAGGAAGATCCCCCCGACCTGCGCCTGGAGGGGCCGCGCCAGCCACCTCCTGTCTCGGTCCTCCCCACGTCCGCAGAAACTGCCCGCGCACCTCTCTCTCCAAAGCCCCATCTGAAGCTGGAGCGTAGCCCGGGCTTATCTGGGGAAGAAGCGGGAGTGGCAGGCTCTTCCTTGCCCTCCTCCTCCCCATTCCTTGCTGAAGGCACAGCAGGAAGGCCTTTGCGATAAGGCCAAGCCTTTCATTACACTGACGAGCAAACCAGGCTGCCTGCCCCACCTGCCCCAGAGTCCACAGATAGCTGTCGGGGGACTGGTCCGCCAGGTCAGGGGCCAGGTGGGTCCTGGCATGCAGCTGGGCTGGGTCTTGCCTGGCTTTGAAAAGCTGCTGGTGGCCGTTGGCAGGGGTGTGGCAGCCCATGTCAGTCTGTGTGTGGAGTGGAACAGAAGTGTCCCCAGGCCACTCTGATCGCATCACAGCATCCAAGGGTTGGCAAGACTTCAAAGGTCATCTCTGCCGAGTTCCCAGCCTGTGAAAAATCACCCGGAGGCCTTCATCTCGATGGGAGTGAAGGGTGTGCACAGGTTCTACCAGGTGATGTCCCTTCACTCACTGTCAACGTCTGCCTCGGTACGTGAGCTTGTGGCTGTCACATGTCACGTGCGTGCACATACATGTACACACGTAAACACACATGCACACACTCAGGGAGAATTCCCCTGGTGGATTTGGGTTCCTCCAGGCCAAGTCGGAGTGTCTGTCTGGTCCCAGAGTAACTTCATTTTCCCAAAGGGGACCCGTGTCTGTTAGCAGTCATGCTCCACCCCTCCCCCAGCCCTGTCTCTGTGGGGTTGCCTATTCTGGGCCATTTCGTATAAATGTGGCTGGTGTCATTCAGCATCACGCTCTGCACGTTCACCCACGGCGGCACGTACCAGGGCTCCATTCCTTTTCATGTCGGCCTAATAAGGAAGTTGTGTTTTGAATCCCCTTGAGTCCCAAGAGGAAGTGGACTCACGTCCCATCTGGCATCTCTGCAAGGGCCTGGACAGAAGAAAGCAATGGCTCAGGGAGTGGGGTGACCCCACGGCACCTGGACTAAAATTAAACCTCGATCAGGCGCCATTTGGGAGCTCTGGTGGAGTTGTGCCTTAAGGCATTTGCCTGCTAACCAGAAGGCTGGTGGTTCAAACCCACCAGCCACTCCTCAGAAGGCAGGTTAGGCAATCTACTTCCATAGAGATACTGCCTCAGAAACCCAAGGAGGGGTCGCTGAGAGTCAGAACCACCTCGACTGCAGTGAGTTTGGTTTTTTGGAGGCACCATTAGATGTTTCGCATTGAGAGTGATTGCGCCCCCTGGTGTCAGGGCTCCCTGTGAAGGGTTTGCACTCAGGCCCGGTCCCCTCAGCCCGGAGTTATTTGTGACAGGCCTTGCTGGGCTTGTCCTCTGGCCACATGTCTATACCCCTAAAACGATGCTCCTTTCCACATGGAGGGTCACTGCCCCCGTTCCCGCCTTGGATGAAAACCTCAGGGCCCCCAGGGAATGTCATTTCTCTCTCTGCAGGTGTCTGGCCAGCATGATAAACGGACTCACACCAAACACCATCAGGAGCTTCTACCTGGCCGGCTGCAAGGTAAGCCTGAGCAGGTGGGCAGGTCGTACCTGAGGAGGTTTCAGGAGCACTCCAGACTCTGGGATTTTACTCACTGAGCCCAGCCCCCAATCCATCTGAAGACACCAACTTAGGGTGCCAAGTGAATATGCAAAAAAAAAGAAAGAAAACATCATTTTGCTTTTAAAATAATATTTTAATGCTAAAATAGTAGAAAGGCCTTAGTCTTCAGGGGGCAAAAGTGTAGCCTTCTCCCAAAAAGAGCAGACAACCCTCTGGGACGTTTTCTGGAAGCTGCTGAAACGTCCCACCCGGGCCCTGACCTGCCTGTTGGTGAATAAATGATATGCTCCAACTCTCATTATGCAGAGGAGAAACTGAGGCCGAGGAGGAGGCCCCTGCCACAGTCACAGGCTCGTGAGTGGCAGTGCTGGGTCCAAACCCTTGGCCTCCTGATTCCGTACCGACCTCCAAGTAACAACCATCGACCCCAAGGGTACTCACACCATGAAACAGGATGGTTCCCACACAGTGTGTCACAGGGCTGTCCTCATGTCTATGTGGTTTGGTGGTGGGATTGTCTTCCATGCAGGAAGCCCAGGTTCAATTCCCGGCCAGTTCACCTCCTGAGTAGCTCCCCTGTCTGTCTGCGGAGGTCTGCTTTTTGCTATGATGCTGAACACATTTCAGGGGAGCTTCCAGACTAAGACAAACTAGGAAGAAAGATGCGACAGTCTGGTTCCAAAACTCGGCGAGTAAAAGCCTATGGATCCCTGTGATCCAGTTTGCAACCATCACGGAGCTGGCCCAGGGTGAGGCAGTGGTGCATTTCGATGTATGTGGGGGGTCGATGTGAGTTGGGGCTGACTCCATGGCACCAACAACAAGAACGGCTTCAACTTCAAGGCCAGCTATGTGTCCTCATCTTTACGCCATTGGTAATTAGAACCGCAGCTTCTTTCTGTTCGGGTTGGCATCTCTCAGCCCTTGTTTGACCCTGGAAGGACTCTGGTCCTTGAGGACATGGGAAGTGTAGTCAGACCCTGGCCCTTTAACCTGTCTTGTTTTAGAATGTGTGTCCATAAGAGCCACAGAGCTCCACGTGGGGTCACCCCACAGGCCCCACCCGTGACCTCTCACTGACTTTAGCCCTGAGACACCAGCATGTGAGCCCTGTGGCCAGACCACCTGGGCTTGAGTCCAGCCCTACCACTAACCCCTCCAGTGACTGCAGGCGTCCTGGAACCTTGGTATTGCACCAGCAAAACAGGTGTAAACGTGACCTCACTGGATTGCCTTGAGGATTGATTTAAATCAGCTGAGCCCAGGCCCCGAGCACAAGAAACACTCAGTGTTACCTGCTTCAGCTTATGTGTTTATTTGCCACACCTGCAGCCTGAGAGACCATACGCACACATGCAGCATCCTCTTCAGCCAGAAGAGGGCGCCAAGCGTTCAAAAATGCCTTACAAGTGGGGTTTTCTTGCCTTGTCAGTACCAGCAAGAGCAGCTCACCAAGGCCTGTGAGAAGTGGCTTGAGATGAACCTGGTCCCTCTGATGGGGAAGAACATCCAGCTCCGAAGTATCCCACAGGAGCTGCTCTACAAGGTGTTGAAATCTCCCAGGTCAGAGCTGGTTCCCGAGGGGCGGGGTGTCCAGGGAGCTGCCACTGGGGGTCACGGGGAGGTAGGTGCTCAGCCTGGGTACAGCCAAGCCCCCGCTGGACTTGCCCAGTGGGTGGAGCCTCTTTGATCCCACACTTTCTGCCCCCCTGGGCTGTTGTTAATGAACCTGAAATGCAGGCTCTGTGCATGGGGCCAAGGAGGCCTGGTGGAGCAGTAGTTGAGCCCTTGGCTGCTAACTGGAAGGTCGGTGATTCAAACTCACCAGCTGCTCCACAGGAGAAAGATGGGGCAGTCTGCTTCCTTAAAAGATTACTGCCTAGGAAAGGCTATGGGGCAGTGCTACTCTGTCCTTTTGGATTATTGTGAGTTGGAATCCTCTTGTCGGCAACAGGGGTGCATGGGGTTGGGGGAGGGGCCTCCTTTCACCCTCCTTCATCTGGGTGGACCCCTTCCAGGTGCTGGGAAAGAAAACCAAAAAACCTCATTGTTGGAGTAATTATTTTCAAAACCCTGACAACGTTGATATATGGTCATTGTGGACAGTTTGGAATATAGGGGAGAACAGAAAAGGACAGACAGACACCCTGCTCCTCAGTCAGTCTGTGGCTGTAGCCCTGGCTCCTCTCCTAAACAGCTCTAGAGCCCGCTTGGCCCCTCCGATGCTCAAGGCTAAAATTCTACGCGTGTGCCTGCCCCCCTGCCTGTTCCACCTCCCCAGTCCTCGACCACCCCGCCAGCTGCTCCAGCTGCACCTTGAAAGTCACTCCGGACACAGCATCACCCTCACTCCCTGCACGCAGTCAGTCTGCTTCCAAACTGAACTGTCCCCATGGACCTCTCTGCTGAAGCCCAATCCCCTGGGCCAACACAGTACCTCTTTCAATCATGTCTCTCACCAAAGGGCCTTTGGTTCCTTCCCTTCACGCAGTCTCCTCCCGTGGCTGACAGTCTCATCTCACGCACCATGTGGCCGCCATGCCCTGGCCCTGCCGCACCCCCTCTCCCACAGCTGCTGTACCCATTGCTCCTTCTGCCTGAAACGCTGGTCCCTGCTGGCCGCTTCTCACGGACCCACGCCCCGATGCCTGGCCTCTCAGATGGTTCCCAGTGGTTTTCTATGATAAATGCCCCAAGGTGATCATCCTTCCGTGTGCACGGATCTTCGTGCCAGATTACTTCACTAGGTTGAATTCCTAGACCTGAGGTTACCAAATCAAATGGACTTTCCGTTGGACTTCACTAGGCTCTTTAAAAACATTTTATTTGAAAATTATTTCAGACGTACAGAAAAATGGCAAGAACGGTACACAAAATATCTGAATACATTCCCCCATTCACTGTATAACTCCACTTTTGTCCTCTTTGCTGTATCATTTCCTTCTCTGTGCTTATCTGCAGTACACGTTTGTTTTTAATGAACTATTTGGAGGTAAGTTGCATACCCCGTGTGGCTTCCCCTCTAAATCCTTCAGGACTTAATCCTCAAGAAAAGGTTTTTCTCTTCTGTACCACCACACAGTTCTCAACGTCAGGAAATCTCACACTGATGCAGTACTCTAAAATCATTGGCTCAGTCCTGTCCTTTTTGCCCTGAAACACTGAATCCAGGCTCAACCACATTGCACTTGGTTGCGTCTCTTTGGAGCTCTTGTAATAAGGTTCTTGATACCATTGTTGCATTGCTGAGGTGACATGCCCCTTGGGTGAATTTCACAAGTGAGACCTAAATTCTACCAACTATTCAGAGGTAGGCTCTGAAACAAATGTTGGTTGTTCTTGTGGAATGCATTCTGATTTTAGAAATTAGATCTAAACAGATTTATTCTACTGTTGGCTTGAATTTTCTAAGTTGCTTGCGATCTCAAGAGTGGTAGAGCACATTTACACTATTGAGGGACCTAATGGCCTAACGAGGCTCAGGAATGCGGGCCCAGAGCAGCGGCAGGTGCTGGAGGTGTTCTCAAGGTTTTCCTGCTCTGCTCGCCTCTCCTCTACCTTTCCCCACGCGTGCACTCTCCTGCCCTCCACTAGGGCACAGTTTATGCAATCATTGGAGAAAGATAAACATGGCAGCCTTTAGGGTTTTCATAACACTGTCCCTCCCTTGGAAAAAGTGAGCTGTCCCACCCTGGTAACATTTAGCCAAGAAAGGAGAAAAAACGTCTGAGCACAACCAGTACGTTCATGATGGCATCGGCCTTGCAAAACGTGTGCTGGGCAGGAAAAGAGCCAAGGACATGACGTGTCCAGTGTCTAGACTCACAGGTTGGGGGAGACGTGACTGCTGTGGACAGAGTTCCGGTCCTCTAGCCCCTCCTTGGCAGCTGTCTGCACAGACAGTGCAGGGCTATCGTGCCCTTGGGCGTCGTTAGCCTGAGCAGCCTGGGCGAGCATCGCGTTCACGCCATCCCAGGTGAACTCTCCTTGTCCAGGTGGTCTCCAGCGGCCTCTGCCTCAATGCGTGCGGTGCGGGGAGTAACAGAGAATCCAGAAGAGGGGGCTGGAGCTGTGACCTGTGCAAGGGGAGGTGGTTGGAAATGTAACCCGCCCAGGGTCCCTTGTCTTAGGGTCTGTGCTCACGTCAGCTGCCAGCTGGTGGGACTGGCACCATGGCCCACCCCTGCTGAAGGTAGAGGACTCTGTGTGTGAAGACCCTGTGGTGTGTTCATAGCACATAGGTAAGGCCCCTTTAAAGGGTTAAAGAGCAAAGATGTCACTCTGAAGACTAAGGGGCATCTGGCCCAAGCCATTGTATTTCCAATCACCTCATGTGCACATGAAAGCTGGACAATGAATAAGGAAGACCGAAGAATTGATGCCTTTGAATTATGGTATTGGTGAAGAATATTGAGTAGCATAGTGCCTAAGGCACTTGACTGCTAACCAGAAGACTGGCGGTTCAAACCCACCAGCCACTTCTCAGAAGGAAGTTTGGGCAATCTACTTCCGTAGTGATACTGCCTTGGAAACCCAAGGAGGGGTCACTATGAGTCGGGGCCAACTCAACGGCACATAAGAACAACCACACCATGGACTGCCAGAAGAGTGAGCAAATCTGCCTTGGAAGACGTACAGGCAGAAGGCTCCTTAGAAGGGAGGTTGGAGAGACTTCATCTCATGTACTTTGGACATGTTATCACTGAAGAAGAACACCGTGCTTAGTCAAGTAGAGCGTTGCTGACCAAGTGGAAACCTTCAACAAGGTGGACTGATACGGTGATTTCAACAGTGAGGTCAAACCTAGCAATGACTGTAAGGATGGTGCAGGTTTGGGCAGTGTTTTGTTCTGTCATCCTAGGGTCTCCGAGTTGGAGCCAGCTCCACAGGACCAACAACAACATGGTACGCACACTGTCTCTTGAGTCCCACAATCCCATGCAGCGAGTGCAAGTACTATTCCTCTTCCACAGATGAAGCTACTAAAGGGCAGAGCATTTAAGGGATGTGCCCTAGCCTAAAAATGGTGCCCTGTTCTCCTTTGACTCCAAAGTCCACACTCTTGACCTTGAACCTCCTCATTTGTCATGGAGCCCGGGGCTTTCCAGCAACTGGAAGAAAACTGTGAGAACTGGCCTGCTGAGAAGCCACATGGTCCCAGAGTGGTTTGTGTGGAAATGCTGAATCCCAAGGTCAGGGACAGGGCATGCTTGGCCCTATTTGGCTGCCCCTCTAGCCGTGGATGGCAGCCATCCCCTGGTTTGTGGTTGTGTTCGAGTCTTGGGGCCTTGTTGGAACAACATCCATTTCTCAGCAGATGCTTCATCTTCTGGGCCGATCAGCCTTCCCCTTCCGGAGTCTCGTTGACCTCACTGTCCTTTGGGTCTTGCTTTCCATTTTGTAAATGGCCTAGAATAAACTGCACACCGTTTTCCTAACCTCCTGGGTCTCTGGTTTTCAGTTAATTTTCTTTTCAGGGGTCACCATTAGGTTATGCTGCTAACTCCTGGACATGATGAAACACTCATTCCGAGCCCTGAGTTTCTGGAAGCCAAGCTCTTTGTAGACCTGGGAAGTGGAGCTCAGAGTCACCTAGTGCCCAGCTGCGTGAGGGCTGCCTCTCAGCCACCTGTGTTTCCATAGCTCCCTGACTTCTCTGTCTGTGGAGGAGCTCTGGTGGCGTAGTGGTTAAAGCATTCAGCTGCTAACCAAAAGGTCGGTGGTTCAAACTCTCTGTGGCAGAAAGAGGAGGCAGTCTGCTTCTGTAAGGATTTACAGCATTGGAAATACTATGGGGCAGTTCTACTCTGTTCTAAAGGGCCGTTAGGAGTCAGAATCAATTTGATGGCAGTGGGTTTGGGTTTTTTTGTTTGTTTTTTTCCTGTCGATGGAACAAGGAGCCTGAAGTCTTAGGAAGTCCCTGAAGAGACGTACCCCCATCCCACCTGGCCCCTGTGTCCCCCAGACAGCACTGCTGTCCACACAGCATTCTTTCCAGAGCAGATGCCAGTTCCCAGAAGCTTCTAGAACACCATGGTGCATCCATCTCAAACATAATTCCTGAAGCTAATTCTTCTCTGGCTGCAAAATGGGCTCAGGTGTAGCAAGGATCGTGAGGCTGGGGCAGGATGGGGCAGTGTTTCGCTCTGTTGTTCATAGGGTCACTATGAGTCAGGACCGACTCGACGACACCTAGCAGCAACAACAATGCTTCCTGGCTAATGACAATACCACTGGTAACGATGGTGTTGGATGCTGGTGAGTCACTGCTGACTCGTGTGGACCCAATGTGTGCAAAGTAGAGCTGCTTTGCAGGGTTTTCAAGGCTGTGACTCTTTGGAAACAGATTTCCAGGCCTTACTTCCAAGGCACCTCTTGGTGGTTTCGATCCACCAACCTTCCAGTTAGTGCAGTCCTGCATGGAGCCATTTTCCAGTTACACTCTAAGCGTCTTGTTCAGTCTGATTCCTGCAGCAGCCCAGGGAGGTGGATATTGTCACCCATGTTTTCACTTATGGAATGGAGATTGTAGGAAATGAAGGGACTCACCCATGGTCCCCCACAGTGTGAGGGTAGGATTTGAACCCAGGTTTGAGTGGCCTCCAGGCTACGGGCAGGCTCTGCCTGAGTCTTTTTCCTTGTTGGGGGTCAGAAGCAATAAAGATATTGAATGTTTTAATTAAAAACTCACAAAGATAGGAGGATAATCAAAAATATTACCATGTCTGCCTCCCTAGATGAGTAAATGGTACCACTGTGTCACAGAGGAGCTCTGGTGGCATAGTGCCTAAGGCTAACCAGAAGGTTGAAGGTTCAAACCCACCAACCACTCCTCAAAAGGAAGATGGGGCAATCTATTTCCGTAGGGATATCACCTCGGAAACCCAAGGAGGGGTCGCTATGAGTCGGATCCAACTCCATGGCAGTGGGTATGGTTTGGTTTTGGTATTACCAATAAGTCGACCCCATTGGGTTTCTGAGGCAGTAAATCTTTACGGAAGTAGATTGCCCAGTCTTCCTTACGCAGAGTGGCTGGTGGGTTTGAACCGCCAACTTTGTGGTTAGCAGACAAATGCCTTAGGCACTACACCACCAGAGCTCCTTTGTATCACCAATAAAGTAGGGGTTGCCTGTGTCTCCCTCCCACCCCTCCCACTCTCCCTAAAGACAGCCACCCCCGTCATGAACTCGGGCAGATCCGATCTCCATGGTCATACTGTTACTACATGGATATGTGTGTCCAGAAATAATGCTCATGGTGGCTTTGTGAGAGTTGGTTGAGACCCCAGCACCCTTCGGGAGATGCAGATGTGCCTGAATTCCCTCTGGTGGTTATCTGCTGCAGGAACTGATACATGCTGATACTCGGCCTAAAGACAGAGGGCCTTACTTGAACAGTTGTCCTTTGTGATAACGTAAAAGCAGGATTCTGGTTCACGGGGCTCCTGTCTCCCCCAACTGCTCTCCATATTGCTGCCAGGCTCACTAGTACGAACTTCCAGGAACCTTTTGGGCTTGCGGATCCCGAGGATGGCGTCTGCTCTGAAGTCACATGACGTGTCCAGCTCAGCAGTGCCTGTAGTGCCACCAAGTTCTCAGTGGTGACATCACACTGAGTGGCCCTGTGTGGCCTCTAGACTGCACAGACAGTCGTGTGACGTGGGAGAAGCGGGTCCTGTTGGGCTGGGGTCCCCATATATCTGTGGGTGGCCTAAAAACCAGATAAGAGGAAAAGACAGTCTGCTCCATCCAAAACTAGCGTAAGAAGTGGGTGGGTGACATTTCCTTTGCCCTTTAGAGCCACAATGTGGCTTAGGTTCCACCCAGTAAGGCCACTTAAAATGGGGGATGCAGACGCACCACAGTTGGTACAGTTAAATTGTGACATTTTAAAGCCAGGTGCCCTCTCCACGGTCAGCTAGAGACTTAAGTGTCAATGGGTTTCAGAAACAGTAAAATGATTCTCAGATAACCAAGACGTTGGAGGCTGTTGGAGAAGCTGTTGGTGAAGTGCCCTGACTTTTCAAAGCGGACATCCTGGGGACTGGCAGCCACTCTGTCCCTTCATCCATGGTGACAGGCTCACGTTGCTGCCAGCAGAGCACAGCTCAGAGGCTAGGTCGGAGCCCCAGCTGGCCCTCTCTGAGCTTGTTACTATATGTCAGGCACTGTGCCGGGCACTTTGTATGCCTGTGGTCAGCACGGTAATGGCTGATTCTGACAGCACCCCTAGAGGACAGAATAGAACTGCCCCATAGGCTTTCCTAGGCTCTCAATTTTTATAAAAGCCAGCTGCCACAATGTTCTCCTGGAGTGGCTGGCGGATCCAAACCACCAACCTTTTGGTTAGCAGCCCAATTCTTTAATTGCCACCAGAGGTTCTTATGTAATCACAAGATTCTTTTAAATGTGGATGAGGTAGGCAAAACCAGAGAAAGCAATGAGGATACTACCCTGCTGGTCTGAAGATGGAGGCGGGGCCACGAGTCGAGGAATGCAGGCGGCCTCTAGAGGCTGGGAGAGGCAAGGACATGGATTTTCCCCTAGAGCCTCCAGAAGGCACGCTGTCCTGCCCACACCTCGATTTTAGTCCCTGAGACTCGCTGGGGACTTCTGACCTCTGGACCAATAAGGCAATAAATGTGTGTTGTTGTAAGCCATGTGGTTTGTGGTAATTTGTTACAGCAGCCATAATTAAACTCATACATTGTATCATCTCATCTAGTCAGTCCTCTGAGCAGCTCCCTTTTTAACAAAAAGGGAAGTTGTTGCCTCAGCTCCCTCACGGCCCCTCACACATGTCAGGCCTGGACTGTGCTCCCCGAGGCTGTCAACCCCCGAGTTTTCACAGATAGAGCCCCGGGGCTTTCTTCACAGGCGCCTCCGGGTGGCCTCGAACCCCCAACTTTTTGTACCACCCAGGACGCCATTGTTATTTTACAGGGGAGGAAATTTCGGTTAAAGGGCTGTGAAGCAACTTGCAGGAGGGTCCACAGACAGTTTGGGGTGGGACTCAGATTCTAACCCGACCCCTGCCCTGTTCTGAGTCCAGAGTCCTGTGACCTTGGATCCATTCTGTACGTTATAGAACCCCAGTCAGGCTGGGACCAGGGTCAGGCAAGTGAGGCGCTCAGAGTGGGAGGAGGGCACCTGGAAACTCAGCCAATAGCATCAGTTCTATTTTATGCCATATTCTTTTTTTAAATGAAAATGAATGCAAAAAAATCCACAATGAACAAGATATCAATATGGAGATAAGACTGTCTTGACATCCACGTTTTAAGAATAAGGAGTAGACCCCAATCTTGCCTGAATGCGGTGTGGTATTAAACAAAACAATGCAGAGAAATACCCGGGGGACCCCTGGCATGTACTAAGAGCTCAGTAACTGAGGGCCACATGTTTGAGGCGGTCCGGTGTGACGGTGGTGGGCTGGACGCTCAGGCTCTGGGATCAGACCTGCAGGGCTCCAATCCCAGCTCTGCTGTCACTGAAAGCCACGTGACTGTGAGCAGGTGGTAGACTGCTGTGTCTTGGCTGCCAACTGACTGTGGGAGGGAGGATGCTGCCTCATTCTCAACTTACCTCTTGTTTTTCATTTTCCTATAAATGAATGATTTCTGCATTCCTCAAATTGTTTCCTAACAATTTACTCTCTCTCTCTCTCTCTCTCTCTTTTTTTTTTCCTTAGCTTGTTTACCTTTAGTGAATTTCATCTTCTGCAAACAATGCTTGCTTGGGTCTACTTGCAAGTAAACATCAAAATTCAGACATTTCCAATCTATGAGACCCTGATGGCTTTTTTTGACAGGTAACATAACTTAGTGTCATTGTTGAAATGGACAGGCTCTGCTTGCTTTGCTCATGTGAAGGGGACGGCAGATGGGGGATGGGGGATGGGGGATGGAGGTTCCCTGGCCCACAGTGGTTAAGCACTGGGCTGCTGACCAAAAGGTCTGCAGTTCCAGCCCAGCAGCGGGTCGGTGAACTAAAGACCTGGCAGTCTGCTCCGGTGAAGATGACAGCCCAGGAAGCCCAGCTCTGCTGTGAGTGGGAATCAATTGGAGGGTGTCCAACAGCCACAGCGCCGTGGGGGAAGCGTCCGTCATACAGTATCCATAGTGCTGTCCAGAGGACAGAGGATGCAGTTTTCTTTATGGGGCCTAAGGTTATGGGATGGCTTTGAACAAGCGGATTACCTGGAAAAGTAAATAACACGTAGGTGTTGCAACCCGAGATGATGATGTGCTTCTGGGAACTTGTTCTGAGTCCAGTGACAGATGATGCTAAGGTGCGTTACCCAGAGAATTAGCATACCACACTGAGCTCAGAATACGTCATGTTTAAAACGTACTTGGAGCCGACTAGACCATCCTCAGTTATGTTTTACTAGACAGAACCTGAAACTCCAGGTTTTCTGGATGAATCAAAAGGCATTTGAATGTACAAGGTTTCATACGATTAATCCAGCATCCTCTGCTCTCTGAACATACAAATTCCAAAAGTTATTCATCTCAGCATTTAAGTGAAACGTAACAATGACAGTAATAACAGTGGGCCCCGCTGACACTAGTGACCACAGTGACCCCGATGAGCACTTTCCATGTGGTATCTCATTCAGTGTGCTGCAAAGAGGCTGGTTTCATGGCTCCCTTTTGACAGATGAGGAAATCGAGGTAGAGATGAGCTGTCTTGCCAGAGATCATACAAGTGGTAAGGGATGGAGTCTGATTGGAACCCAGAGCTGCCAAAGCCCATGCTGCGTGCTGCCCATTCCTAGAATGGCAGATGGGATTCGTGCCTTGTACCTACTCTAGGAAGGCGCTCTGGTAGCATAATGCCTAAGGCACTTGACTGCTAACCAGAAGGCTGGCAGTTCAAACCCACCAGCCACTCCTCGGAAGGAAGCTTGGGCAATATACTTCTGTAGTGATACCGCCTCAGAAACCCAAGGAGGGGTTGCTATGAGTCGGATCCAACTCAACGGCACATAACAACCACCACCACCACCTACTCCAGGTGGTTTGGGAATGGCTCCCTGGACACTGTGTTGAGAAGGATCCTGAGGCTGCCTCTGGGTTCAGCGTTGTGGGCACTGTCATCGGCCAGGGCTCTCTCAGACGGCCTGGCAGCCCATCCTTTTCTCCTCCGCAGAGTGTCTTCCTCCTACCTCAGGTTTTTTCTGTCTGCTCCGTCAGAGCATCCTGATTAACAATGTCACTGGGACAGCGTGAGTACAGGGTATGGGGGGAGTGGCAGTGGTGGTCCCGGGGCTCCGTGTCCTGCCTCCTTGGCCTCTGTTAACCTTCATCATCACTGAAGGGGCTGTGAGAGGTGGTGACCCTGGGGCCACTGGAGCCCAGCCCTCCGGGACCTGTCCTGGAGAGGAAATAACTGGCCACGTTACCTTTTCTGTCAGGTGCTTTCTTGTTCGTTTTTTTAATTGTGGCAAAATATACATAACATTTGCCTCGTCAACAGTGCTTACGTGTATAATTCAGTGACAGTGTTCACATCCCTGAGGTGCAGCCTTTAGCCTTGTCCAAATTAGTCCATCACCAGTAACAGAAACTCAGTGCCCCCAGGTGGCTACTTCCCCCTGCCTCCTTCCCCTAATGTTGTGCACCTGGATTTGATTCCCACTCCTAGCGACTGACAGGGCAGAGTAGAACGTCCCGAGGTGTTTCCTTGGCTGCAGTCTTTATGGGAGCAGTTCACCAGGTCTTTTCTCCCACAGAGCAGCTGGTGGGTTCAAACCACTGACCTTTGAGTTAGCAGCCAAGGACTTAACCATTGTGCCACCAGGGCTCCTTCCCGTCCCTGATGGCCACTCACAGCTTGGTTTCTAGTTGCCTGTTACGTGTTAATTGAGAGCATCCTGTAGTTGTCCCTTCGTGACTGACTGACTTCGCTCAGCACCGTGGTTTTGGGTTCGTCCGCGCTGGCACCCTTTATGGCTGAGTAAAACTTCATTGCATGGCTAGCCCACCTTGCTTTGATGCCTCTGTCCGTTGATGGACACTTGGGTGTCTCCACCTTTTGGCTCCTTGAACTGTCCTGCTGTGCAAGCTGGTGTGCGGCTATCAGGTGTGTTTTTGCACCCCCACAGCAGCAGAAACGGGGGGCTTCCGGCCTGAGACGGGGTGTTCAGCAAGCCAGTAGCTCCATTTCTTTAGCACATGTGAGGGTAGCAGACAGACACAGCTTCTATGTATCCTTAAGCAGCGGGTTGGTCTCTGTTGAAGCCACGTCTCATTTGCTCTGTTTTGAAGCTTTTAATCTATTTCTGGAACAGCTGGGCACCGTGCTAACTGAAGAGCCCATTTGTCTCTGTCTTGTTGTTTGGGGAAGGCGGTATGCAGTGCCGGAATTCTATTTTCTTTGCTTGGTTTCTATATAATTTGCTGGGAACCTAAGTGTCTTAAGTCCCCCGCCCCCTTTTAATAGCCCAGTGAGCCGTGCGCACCAGGAGATACTGTTCTTTGGATTGGGGTTCGTGCTCTTGCTGGAGACATCTCAGCACAGGAGATAGGAGATGAGCTAGGATGTGGCTTTAATGTGAAACTAGTGGGACTGAGGGGGTGAAGGTGCAGGGCCCCAGCATTGGAAGTGGGGTTCAGTGGCCTTCCCAGAGCTGGGGACTCAGCAGCTCCTCCCAGAGAGTGGAAGGACGTGGTGTCTTTCTCTATCACAGCTTTTCCATCCTCTGGAATCTGCATTGACCGGTTTTGACCACCCCCCAAACCTTACTATCCACACAGCCTTTCCCCAGACGACCCAATCCTGCACGATTTTTCTTATTAGAAACCATTTGCTTATTTCCAGCCGTCTCACTGCCCCACCTCAGGTACCACCTTCCGACCGGGGTGACCCTCACTGCCTGTGTGCCGGTCCTGTGTCTCTGCTCTCTCCTCCTCTGCCCACCACCAGCTCCCCTCGGAGAAGTGGATCTTAGTATACGGATTCAGAATTCAGAGGGCACCACACCTGCTGCACCGTGAACTAATGGCATGGCACCAGAGTGCCGTCTCTGTGGAGTGGGAGAACAGGGTCAGTGTACTCGACGGAGGAGGAGTCTTGGTCAGCCGGTGGGGCCCCGCCCCTGGACATGGGGGTGAGCAGTGGGGTGCTAGGCTCCCTGTTTGCCACTCCTTCCCTAAAGCTGACCAGCGGCCGTGCAGGGCCCTGGAGTTGCTGTCGTAGGGGCCTAGTGGCCCAAAGGCTTGGGCTGCAGGAAGGGTGGCCTGCTGCCAGTGTAGGAGGAGCCTGGGGAAGGCACAGTCACCCGGCCAGGATTGGGTCACCAGGGGGGTGAGCTTCAAAGCTTGGTGAGATCAAAGGACACAGCTCAAGGGGCAGTTTCTCTGACCACTGACAAGGACATGGCCGAGCAGCAAGCAGCTCGAGTGGGAGCAGAGGAGCGGATGTACTGGGAGGCAGTAAACAGGCTGGGAATGACTGAGGAAGGAGTTGGGTGTTTGGCCCAGTTTGTGAAGTTGCCTGTGTTGATGGTATGTGTTTAACAGCAGAGCGATTTATAAGCTGTCTCTCAGGGTGGGGGAGCCGTGGCCAAAGCAGACATTGGAGGCCCTCCTGTTATGGGGACCTGCAAACTGGGGGTGTGCTTTCATAACATGGCAGCAGTTGTGTGTGGCCATGGCATGCGGAGGCGTGTTTACGGAAACAGCACCTGTGGCAAGCTCTGAAATCGCGCCACTGGCCAAACAGCTGACACCATTTATCAGACAACCTCACTGTCACGTCAGCTTAGAAACACAAGTCCAGCTCGCTCACCTGTGGCCTGACACGTGGTGGCACTCCATGACAATGACACCTGCACCTTCCTTGCTTTCACTGATGAAGATTGCTCTGTGATGGTGTTCTCGTTCCCTGGTGCTGCTCTGACAAGAAATATACCACAAATGGGATGGCCTTAACAAACAGGAGTTTATTCTTACAATTTGGATGCTTTAAGTCCAAGTTCAAAGAGCCAGGCTCTAGGGGCTGGGTGAAAGCCCCTCAACCTTGGGCTTCAGCTCTGCCTCCAGCTCCTGACCCACTGAAGCTAGAGGCATTTCTTCAGCTGCTGGCTGCTGAGGCTAAGAAGCCCAAGGTTGACAAATAAAATGGCACAGTCCCAGTGTCACCAAAGCACACAGCAGGCCATTAATTTAAGTCCATTGTAAGTCCCAAGGTCAGCAGAGCATGGTATAGGCCGCTGAGCAACGACACGGCTACATGCAGGGTCCAAGCGTGCCATAGGATAGAGACCATTCCCCAAGGGTTCTGCTTATATACAGGAAGCAGACCACATCCCAAAGGCAGCTACTCAGCTGCTCACAGTGGATTCCACCATGGAGTTGATGACCAGTCTCATCATGGGGACTACTACATCCAGCTGCCCAGCCACTCAACCAGGCCCAGCCAAGTTGACACACAAACATAACCACCACAGATGGGCTCAAAGCCATTTCTTTTTGTTTTCATTTTCTTCTTTTTCTATACGCAGCAGCACAAGATCAGACATCTGCCTCGACCCATAAACCAAAACCAAACCCGCAGCCATCAAGTCAGTTCTGGCTCATAGTGACCCTAGAGGACAGATTAGAACTGCCCCCTAGGGTGCCCAAGGCTGTAAATCTTTACAGAGACAGACTGTCACATCTCCCCTCACACCCAGAGCAGCTGGTGGGTTCAAACCGCCAATCTTTTGGTTAGCAGCTAAGTGCTTTAAACACTGTATCACCAGGGCTCCTTCCTTTGCCTGTGGAGGGTCTCAAATACAGAAGTATTCATTTCAACTTGCTGAGT